AAGATGCGACAGCAGGTCCTTTTAAGCTGAAATCTACAGTTGAATGTGCTACCATGTGCACTGGAGACGCCTCATGTTGCACTGCGAGCTATGACAAAATTACAAGACAATGTCTACTAAGTTCCCTTTGTAACCCTGAAACTGTGAATTCATACAGTGGAAAATATATACAGAATCCTTACAAAGTTGGTAAGCATACCTTTCGTAATATTTATGCTTTCATTATATATTTAGTTTGTTGGTAAAAGACGTTGTCAAATCAGAAAAAAAATATCGATACAAAAGTTTGGTGCGTCCGAAGCGCTTTTCTGTATTTGCTATCAAGAGGAACTCTCAAAATCAAATCTTCTTTAATGAAGTACTACTGGATTACGTGGGGATCTATATAACCAAAATATAACCTTAAAAGAATACCCAAGTCGCATTTCAACTGTGCCTAAGGGATATGGAAACTTCGCCTCTTAAAACTATTCTAATTTGACATCAGTTAATTTAGGAAATATATTTTGCAGATCATGGAAATGCAGTCTCTTTAATCCTAAAATTGCCTTCCCGGATAATATTTGACAACCACTCGTGGAATCGAATTATCATTTGATACATTTACAGTGGGGTAACATGTTTTAATATCATATTAATAACATTGGTTGCAAACTTACGTTTCGTAATAACCTAATTATATAGAAAGTAATATTCTAATGTGAAAAAACATTCTGATTTTTCACTTATCTGACATAATACGTCAATAGATATTGTCAATTTATTGTAAACGAAGTTTCGTGAAAACGACATTTAAGAACGTATAGAAAACTATATAGTTTCTTGCATTTTCTACTTTATTTACATTCTAATTAATTAAGCTGATGTGGAAATAGTTGTAGACCAACTTTTCCAAGAATGGTATGCCAAACAGTATTCGCAATGCGCAATCATGACTTACCAAATTTCGCGTACCAACTTATAAACATGTTATCTTTGGTGAGGTTTTTTTTTATTTGTTCGCTCACTCCAATATTTTTTGGCGCTCGAATTCTTATATTTGTAACAAAGAAACCTAGTTACAGCTGTGACCAGGTAGTCTCGCTCGGGGTTTTTTTTCGAAAATTTTCATTAAAACACCGTGTGTCTTTAGATTCCAGCTTTCTAGCGCGATATTACAAAAATATAATTTGTATCGTCGATTGTATTTTGAACGACGCCGAGATCAAAACGTATGTTTCTGTTTGTTATAATGCTATTAAATTCCATGAAAATAAAGTAACTTTATGTATACGAGTACATTTTTAACAGGGAACATTTTATTTTTTAGACGGATTTCTTTCATAAAATCGAAATATCTACCTTTCCACGTGTCTACTATTAAGACTAAATGAGTATATCACATCATCATATCAACTTGTCATATCACATATCATATCATATATGTTCCTTGAAAGTCATATGATCTTTCCAATTTAACAAAAATGATGCATATGTTTTAAAACTTGAATGAACATCCTTTATTTTATTCAAATCTTTAGAAAAGTACTGCGATTGAATCATTGTTTTTGCCGACAGATTTTCGGTATGTTGTGACCTGACCCATGACACTTCTCGTTAGAAATTCGCGATCGGCAATCTCACACCGCAACTGCGAGGGGGTTGAAACTGCGATTGATTATTGAAGAAATAGCAAACAAAATCGGAAGGAAATTATGCAAGAGTACATAACCGATGTTCATTTCTCATAAATCGATAAAGAAGAAAATCAAAGTAACAAACAAAAACTGAGGGAATCGGTATGAGGATAGTATTAACCGATTCTGAAAGAAATATTTAACTACATCATTTAATTTAACAACTGTTATGGATAAGTTTGAGTAATAAATTGGAAAGCAAGGAATAAAAATAACCATTGCTCTACCATCATCTCACTTATCTTATAAGCTCTCCACAATTCTGTGTTGACTGTTAACCAGGGTCGCGGTTGATAAACTTCGGCACCAAAACCCGAAAGAGAATAGAGCAGTCAAAGTTTTGGATTAACACTCCCTTAATGAAATATTTGTTTTCGCTTAAATATTTTAGATTCGTAATAAAATATGAGGACTCAGTTTAGGATATATGCATCTATTGGTTCGATAATTGTTTTAGCATCATAATCACCAGAAACTCGTTACTTATGACTTTAAGAATCGATGGAACGAAGAAAGGAATACAAACGGAATTAGCAAAGAAAGAAACACAAAGTTAAGAATTGAAGGAAGGAATTCAAACATGTGCTATAATTGTTAACTTATACATTGCGACTTAGATGGAGAGTTGTCTCATTGGCACTCATACCACATTTTCTTATTTGTATGGGATAAATGCATATTATCATGATATTTCAATTTTATTGTACTTGCTGTATTTCTTTGAACAGTTAAAGATACATGCACAGTGGAACCCGCCAAACCTGTTGACTGTGCTGATATAGAAACTAACTGTGGCAGTGGTATTTACGATATATATCCATCAACTACCTATCCAATTTCGGTTTACTGTGACATGACTGCATCTAATTGGACGGTATTGACACTTACATTGCTACAAATTTGTTTGTGTTTATTCTAGTTTTTAAACATGATTAATGCTTTTTAGACGTATTTGTTCACAAAAATATTCATCAATTATCCCGGTTTACACATTTGAAAACCCTAAATATTGCTAACAAACCTTAGTTCTCCATGTGTTGGCAATAAAAGTAAGACTAAAAGCTATTAAGAGCTTTCAACATAGCGTGAATGTTTCTATCTTTCAAGATATTATGACCGTTATAATTTACATATATAAACCCTAAAAAGTGGTAAAAAAAAACTCAAGTTTTCCTTTTGATGCTAATAAAAGTAAGACTACAAGATATTACGAGCTTTCAATATAGCATGAATGTTACTTTCTTTCAAGATCTTATGACCGTTATAATTTAAATATTTCATTTGTGTTATTGACTTATTGTGTATTGCATAGATGACATTAACCTACGGTTTTCGTCCTACATATAGTACCTTGTCAAAGTTCTTCCAAACAGAAATATGTATCGTATACGTATGAAAAAGAATATGTGGGGTAGAACTCAATAAAACAGCAATCCAACGACACAAAAAAAACTCAACTTTTTCATTCCCATTCATATTCAATGACACATTAAATCAAAAGACCAATCATTTATCATTTTTTACATCTTCATCTGCTTCCAGCTGCGGTCTCGATTAGAGGTATCCAAAATTCATTCTTTAAAGGCATTATTTGACTGAAGTGCTTCCTCTATATAAAAGTAAAACTGAACTTTTTTTTATTTCTTTTTCATTCAGGTAATTCAGAGACGTGTTAACGATTCTGTCGACTTCTACAAAAACTGGATAGACTACAAGACTGGTTTCGGAAATCTAGCCGGAAATTTTTGGCTTGGTAAGGTTTCTATGCACTTTTAATAACACCAGTCAAAAATAAATATACACTTAATTTGATTTATGTTGTTAAACATAGGCAAAATAAAATATACCATTAACGGTGAAAAAAAAAGATGGCAAGAACAGTGAAATGGGGTGAAATGGTTTATTTCTAATTTTTATTTAGTTGTTAAAAAATAGATTTCTCATCTGTTGAAACAATATTGCTGTTTGAAAGAAATTGACATGTACATATATAAAAGTCTCAAATATATTTGATAAATATTCTTTTATCTATACTTGTCCTAAAAATAGCCTTCCAACTGGAAGTGTTCAATTGGAATACTTTCATCATTTTATTGGATATCAAATATATGTTTGCCTTCATTTCTTCAATGAAAAAAAGTCCTTCCATATTGATCGTTTGTATATCAAATTATCATTTGGAAAATAATCCGTTTAATCGTATTGTAACTAATCTATAAATTCTCTTCACTTTTGTTGTCTGTGAAAGAAAATCCAGATTATTTCTTAAACTTGATATACATGATTTTTTTTTCAAAATATAAAAATAATTAAAACATTATTACATGTACAAAAGCGGTCAAGTTTAATTTCAAGCAAAACATTTTATGTTTCCCCGATTACATAGTCGTCCCCTCCTTGCAAAAAAAAACCAAAATGGAAGAAAAGAAGAGAAGGTCAAATGCTACTGACAGGTCCTGGAAAAAATTAAATCATGTTAAACATTACGGAGATGTTATTTGTTAATTGATCATGAAATGTGCGGTTAAAAATTATATCCAGAAACCGAACCTATGTGTATGGAATAAATCATATCACTTTGGAGCGTTTATACAAGATAAACAATTAAATGAAATAAGGGTAGTAAAATAGGCGGTTTTCGTCATCTTCATCATCATAATTATTTGTCTTATCATTATTATTAACTGGCTTTAACTGCAGTGGTTTAGTTTATTCGTGTATTCGAACATTCATACAATATTTGACCAGATGGAAAATGTATTTATAAAGGTTACTCGGGAACACGTGTATTTGTTTACTTTTAACACGTGTGTTTAAATCAAAACATGTTTATGTTTAATTTGATTGGACCATCAGTAAGTTATTACCGGTTTAAGTTATATCAATCATGATAACTTCATGCTAGAATTTTAGCGCTAAAATTATAATAAGATATCTAGAATTGTCATTCGAGGTTCGCCTATCCGACAGAAAGGTTCGTTTTTTCTTAAATCGCCACTTGGTAAAATGTCCGAATCTTCTCCACGTCTGGAATTGAATGAAGACATACTACTCGAAGGAGATAATAGTTTACCGCCACCTAATATTCATAAAGCAGCTGATAAGTCGTCTGATTTGGTAGATACTGTAGAGCTTTTTAAGACAATTTTAGACAGCAAGTTAGGTGAGTTGAAATCTGAACTCATACAAGAACAAGATTGCCTTAAGAGAAAAATTAAGGAGGACGTCACTCTAAAATTTAAGGGGGAAGGAAACAGAATTCAGTACACCTTTAACGAGGAATTATTAGACACTGTTAATAAACTTTCAAAATTCATCCCTAACTCCAATACTCAAGCCTATAGATTAGTTCTTGACATAACTGATAAGATCAAAAGCCGTAATAAGAAAATACGCATAGCTGATGCTTCCCCTGCTGGTTGGGGAACCGTTAGGGAATACGAATCCAATGCCGTGGCTTCAGATTCTGAAGATGAGAGAAAGATACGACAAGCTGAGACCAGAGCTATCCGTACCTCCAAGGAGAAGTCAAAATCTCGCCAGCAACCTTACCCAAAAAATCCGCCTCGTCAACAACCTGCGGAATCTTATGGTAACCCTGCTTACGCTCAGCATTATCAACGTAATCAGCAACAGCCCTTTCGTGGGAGCTTCGCAAGGCGTGAGCCTTGCTCAATCGACACGTGCCACTACTGCAAGCAACAAGGCCACTGGAGAAAAAACTGTCCTCTTCTCGCCAGTCTCAGGTCATCCAACAGCAACTCCACAACCTACCAGAAGTAGTAAAGTAGGGCCTGAACGTCACTCTCCAGTCATTGTGAATGATAAGTATTTAGACACTATTAATGACCAATTTTCTACATGTTTTGTTGATAACGATTATATAGAATCTTTTTTAGATCAAGTTCAATATTTTGAAAATTGTCAGTCATATGATAAATTTAAAGGGGTGAAAGGTAGATTAGCTTGTCATGTAAAGTATTGGGAAAATATAGGTGCTTGTCCTTTTGTGCTTGATACAATAAAAAATGGTTATGTTATTCCATTTATAGATACACCTTTTAAAATGTACCACAGAAATAATAGATCAGCACGGCAGAATACTGAATTTGTCACAAAGTCAATTGAAGAATTAGTTCAAATAGGTTGCGTAATTAAAGTGCCTTTTCAACCATATGTGGTAAATCCATTGAGTGTTGCTACTCAAAAGTCCGGTAAGAAACGACTTATTTTAGATATGAGTCAATTGAATAAACACATAAAGCGCGAAAAAATAAAATTTGAGGATTGGAAGTTAGCTATACAATATTTTGACAAAGATATGTATCTGTTTAAGTTTGATTTAAAATCTGGTTATTTTCACTTAGACATATGCTCACAGCAACAGACTTTCTTAGGTTTTCAGTGGGAAGGTCAATTTTATTGCTATACTGTTTTAGCTTTCGGAATTACTACCGGTCCGTACATTTTTACTAAATGTTTGAGGCCACTAGTAAAATTTTGGCGTGGAAACGGTATAAAAGTTGTTTTGTATTTAGATGATGGATTTGGCATGAGTCCAGATGAAAATACATGTAATGAGCAATCGTCCTTCGTAAAAAGGTCTTTGATTGATGCTGGTTTCCTTATTAACGAGGAGAAGTCTGTTTTTAAACCTGTTACCGAGTTAGAATGGTTGGGAATAGTTTGGAACTCGAAAGAATACAAATTATCTATTACTCAACGTCGAGTTGACGATTTGATTTTCTCATTGAATGTAATTTTGGCTAAATTTCCCTATGTTACAGCTAGATCTTTAGCTCAGGTTGTAGGTAGAATTATTTCTATGACTCCCGTAATCGGAAATGTGGCTAGAATTATGTCAAAGTTCTGTTACATGGAAATTGAAAGTAGAATTGGGTGGGATATTCCCATTACAGGGTACAAACCCGTCGAGGTTTTATCAGAGTTAAAGTTCTGGTTAGAAAATGTCACCATGATTAACTATCGTAATTTATGTCATTACAGTAAATCTTCTGTTGTCATATACTCAGATGCTAGTAATATTGCCGCTGGTGCATACACCGTTGAATTAGAAAATAAGATTTTCCATAAGATGTGGACATGTAGTGAAACGGTACAAAGCTCCACATGGAGAGAGCTGAAAGCTATAGAGTTGGCCCTTTTTTCTTTTAAGAATAGTTTCACAGGAAAAACTATAAAGTGGTTTACTGACAATCAAAATTGTGTCAAAATTGTTAATTCGGGAAGTATGAAAGAAAATCTTCATGTTATAGCAAAATCTATTTTTTCATTTTGCATTCAAAAAGGAATATCAATTGACATTCAATGGATTCCCAGAAAAGAAAATGAAAAGGCTGATTATATCAGCAAAATGGTTGATTTCGAGGACTGGGGAGTCACACATATATTTTTCAATTTTTTAAATGATATGTGGGGTCCTTATTCGATTGACAGGTTTGCAAGTGTCGAAAATAGAAAAGTTATGAGATTTAACTCCTTATTTTGGCAACCTGATTCTGAAGCAGTTGATGCATTTTCTCAAGTTTGGACCAATGAAAATAATTGGCTAGTTCCACCAATTAATCTTGTGATACGATCGATTAAACACATTATAGCTTGTAAAGCTCGAGGCACGTTAGTTGTGCCTAAGTGGATTTCTGCTGCATTCTGGCCTTTGATATTCGATAAACATCTGATTTATCAAGATTACGTAAAAGATGTTATTGTGTTTAAAAATACTGATGGTATTTATAAGCAAGGTTCGAATAAGAATACGATATTCGGAATTGAACCGTTTGGTTCGCCAGTTTTGGCTGTTTTGCTAGATGCATCTTAGACATGGCCCTAATATATATAGATATATTTTAGCAGGCATGGTCTGTTTGTGACATGGCCCTAATATATATATAGATATATTGTAGCAGTCATGGTCTGTTTGTGACATGGCCCTAGTATATGTATATTGTAGCAGGCATGGGTGTTTATGTTGACATGGCCCTAGTATCGGTAATGATATTGTAGCAGGCTTGGTTTTTTATTTGACATGGCCCTAGTATCTATAATGATATTTTAGCAGGCATGGTAATTTGTTTTACAGTTTATGGCCCTAGTATCTATAAAGATATTGTAGCTGGCGTTGAAATATTTGAATATATATTATATTTTACTGTGTATAGAAATCTGAAATATGCTAATAATTCGTCCTCTGTATATGTATATAAAATGTTATTGCAATTTTACGTTTTTCAGATATTTTTTCAGTAGGACATTGGTCAGACTTTAATTCACAAGTTGCCTCTAATAATGATCTCAGCAGTTTGTTCAAACAGTTACCAGAATTCCTTCTTTCGTCCAAGGCTGCGAGTACTCAGAAGAAATATAGATATGCCTTCAATTCATGGTGTAAGTGGACTAGTCAATATTCTTTTTCACCATTGCCAGCATCTCATTTACATATTTCTTTATATTTAATTCATTTGTCTGAAACTGCAAAATCGGTTTCAAAATTAAATGATGCTTTTTACGCCATAAAATGGGCACATAAATTAGCTGGCGTTGCTGATCCCAGTGAAAATAATCTAGTTGCATCTGTTCTTGAAGGGGCTCATAGAAAAATAGGTCATTCAGTTGTCAAAAAAGAACCTATCACACCGCATATTTTGAAAAATATTGTATGTAAATATGCTAATAATACTTGTAATTTAAAAGATGTAAGAATAGCATGTATGTGTTTATTAGCCTATGCTGGCTTTTTAAGATTCTCCGAGTTAGCTAACTTGAGAAGGTCTGATATACAGTTTTCCCCTACTTACCTTACACTTCATTTAGTCAAGAGTAAAACTGATGTATATAGGGAAGGGAAAGATGTTGTCATTTCAAAAACAGGGAATATTACATGCCCGGTAGATGTACTTCAGCGTTATCTAAAGTTAGCTAACATTCCTGAAGAATCGAATGATTTTATTTTTAGATCTATTTGTTATTGTAAATCTTTGAATGTATACAAACTTAGAAAGAGTAGTCATATTTCTTACACCAGAGCCAGAGAGTTATTGTTATCTGCACTTGACAGTTTAGGTCTTGATAAAAAACAGTTTGGCTTACATAGTTTGAGGTCAGGAGGAGCTACTGCCGCGGCAGAAGCTGGAATAGATGACCGGTTGTTTAAGAAACACGGGAGATGGAAAAGTGATAAAGCCAAAGATGGTTATGTTAAAGAGAGTATACTCAACAGATTGTCAGTATCTAAGAATTTAGGATTGTAATTTATATTGTTTGTCCCCCCTTTTTCTTTATGTCCCTTTCTTTATCAATCGAAGCTTTCTGTGCTGTCGGGGCGAGCTGATAACCAAAAACTGTGTTGAGTTTTTACTTTGTAAATGCTTTATGTTCGTTTGAAGTATTGAATAAGAACATAAATGTATTTATAAAGGTTACTCGGGAACACGTGTATTTGTTTACTTTTAACACGTGTGTTTAAATCAAAACATGTTTATGTTTAATTTGATTGGACCATCAGTAAGTTATTACCGGTTTAAGTTATATCAATCATGATAACTTCATGCTAGAATTTTAGCGCTAAAATTATAATAAGATATCTAGAATTGTCATTCGAGGTTCGCCTATCCGACAGAAAGGTTCGTTTTCCCACCCACCCACCCCTTTTATTAAGACTTCATAGGAATGTGAATCAGTATGTTATGTAGAAAATAGTTGATAAAATACATGTATGTAAATCGAAATGATTTTTTCTTCAACTTATAGAACATTTTTCTATTGTAGATTGTGTTTATATGTGATGGCAGCGGTCGATGACAGCAAATTGGACATTTGTTTATTGTTTATAATAAAAATAAGCTTTCTGTGCTGTCGGGGCGAGCTGATAACCAAAAACTGTGTTGAGTTTTTACTTTGTAAATGCTTTATGTTCGTTTGAAGTATTGAATAAGAACATAATTATATTTTAAACAGAAGTAGTGATTTCTCAATTTTTTTATCTTATCAAAGGCAACGATAATATACATACTATTGTCAACAGTAGATCCTATATGATAAGATTTGATTTAGAAGATTGGACTGGTAACGTTCGTTATGCAGAGTATGAGACCTTCAGGATTGGGGATGAATCGGATAATTACAAACTGACTCTAGATGACTATGATGGCGACGCAGGTTAGTACTTTTAAAGACAATTATTTTATGTTTCTCAGTTCCCCTATATATTATAGCCATTATTTGTCCTTGTTCTAGATTATTACGGGATTACGATATTTGCCTAAGGTGACAACTGCTCTAAAAGATCCTGAAGAAATCAACAATCAATGGGTATTCTTTTTAATTTTACGATAAGTGAATGCACGGAATAGTGGTTCAAACTGTCTTGCTTAAGGGTTAATATCGTTTTCGGTAATTTTGTCCATATTTATTATATTTCTTTATCCATTTCCTTATGTTTCCCAATACCTGTAAGAAACAAAGAATCGGAAATGACCAAGGGGACAATCAAAACACAAAAGTCTAGCAAAACTGACAACTTCATGACAAAAATGAAAGACGATGATTAGACAAACTAGTTCATAAAACACTATAAAAAAAACTAAAGACTGACAAACACGAACCCCACCAAACAACTTTGGGTAATCTAAGGTGCTCCAGAAGGGTACTAGTGGCACCCACTGTGTTGCCCATGGTAATCGCATACTTGGTGATGATTCGCTATCGTGATGTCATAATAGAGGAATTATGGTTATGACAATTGGAACATATCCGTGGTCACATGTGACACAAATATCCCATAACCAAATTATTATGGCGTCCGTAAAACTTTCGAAGGGATGACTTCAACTTTACAAGTTGGAACCCTTAGTTTCAATAGCTTCCTTGTAAAGGTTCAAACTTCCTCATGCAAAGTTGACGTTAAATAGATTTTGCTATTAAATTATGTCTCTTTTGGTCATATAGCTCTTCGCGTGTTTCCGTCATTGCATATCCTTAGCTTTCAAATATTTGGCTTCGGGCGTTCCTGTGAAGGTAAATCCAGAAAAGCACTCTGGATGCAAAAACTTATGTTTTCATTTTGAAAGCAGCAAGCCTCTGTTAACGAAATCATAATATGAAACACAAGCTCTGGAATATCGTATCAACTGGGAAATATATGCTCAATATGCAGGCGCTGCTGGGACGTTTATACATTGAAATGAAAAGTTCACAAATGGAAAGCTGAAATCGTACATTTCAACGTAAATTTTTGTTCTCAATCGACCCTCATTGTCAATTTTGAGATTTAAATTTAGGCAAGTAGTGAACCGATGTTTATGCTCATAAATCGATTTAAAAGACAAATCAAGGTAACAAACAAAAACTGAGTGTATTGCATAAACTCCCAAAGAAGCAAGACAGTGTTCAAGTGAAGATACGATGCATACTTACTTGTATCTGTGGTCTCGATCGGGTAAATGCGTTCAACATAGTCAACAAACTTTGAATTCTGTAGTGAGAGGACATATACATAATATATACAGTGGAACGTAAAGTTATAGGATTATGCTAGCTTCTAATCATTATTCTTGACAAGCTCCTTAAGTTTATGAATATGAAAATAAGAAGATGTGGTATGATTGCAAATTAGGCAACGTTTCACCAGAAACCAAATGACGTAGAAGTAAGCAATTATAGCTCATTGTAGACCCTTCAATAATAAGCAAAACCCATACCGTATAGCAAGCTATTAAAGGTCCCAACATGACCAATGTTAAACAATTCAAACAGAAAGTCTGCCTCATATGAATACAGGCACAAATGGTAAAGAAGAGATCAAGAAGAGGGACACAAGTGGAATCGATTGTTTAATGAACAGAAATACGTCCTCCAAACGTAACAAATATGATGTCGATAAAAAAAAGTATCTTGATGATGTCAGTCTCTGATTTTTTTTCCATATCAGAACGATAAATCGTATGCCTCTTGTATAGACAGTGGCACTATCTGTTTACGTACGCTAAAGTACCCTTTTAGCAATTTTTAGGACTATGGATTTAAGTTAAGTGAATGTAGGAATTTTGTGTTGCGAATAAATAAATAACATTCTTATATCGTTGTTTCGATATGACACGAATGAGTTGTTTTCAAGAATAAAATGTAATTATGCTATAAAAAAATATCTTGTTCAAATTTGCTGTTGAGTAAAGTCAAAATCTGAGGTAACAGAACAACTTCAAATCGTACTTTCATAGCGCAGGTAGAATATAATTGTATATATTGTTATACCAATTTATTTTTTTCAATTTACAAAAAAGGGGGAATTTACATGTAGTATTAACTATATAGAAAAAAAATATATTTATCATTAATTACATGATGAATTCAAATTCATTTCAGGTGATATCACAAGTGACTCGGGTACAGGTGAAATTGATGGTCAACAATTTTCAACTGCAGATCGTGATAATGCTAACTATGTCTCTATATTTGGTCAAACATGTGCTGATCAAAATAGAGGGGCGTGGTGGTATAACAAGTGTGGACTAGCAAACCTGAATGGTGTATACTATAACTATCCAACCAATATTTTTATTTTCGATGCAATATATTGGCAACCTTTCAATGGCCGTGAGTCACTGAAATCAGTCTCGATGAAAATAAGAGTTAAAGATGACTGATTGAGTGATGAGAAGTAAAAGAAGGGAGAAAATACCAAAGGGGAGAGGGATAACAAGACATTAGTTTTATGCACACATTTGTTAAATCATACCAAATGTACAGATTTTTGTAATTGTGTCATATGAGAAAGACCATTCTTGCTTTTGTGGTTTTTTTTTTTTTTTTTTGGGGGGGGGGGGGGGGGTGTTTTTTTTAACGATAACAAATATTTTTATTCAAGCATTTCCTGATATATAAATACCTAAGTAGCTCAGGACGCATAAATATGGACTCCTGTATTTTTAACAGCCTCACTTGACCAGGGAAAAATCAAATGGGTTTTCACTCCCATAGTTTTTAATACATATATTTAAATAACCAGTACAATTGTTTTTTACATGATAAGCATCATTGTAATACATAATCATTATCGCATATCCGGTTTACTGACTACCATGTGTTGATTTAACATTGAAAACTATATATGTGATCGATAAAAATAAGAGTTATAATCTGAATTGGAAATTATTGATGTGATTGACATTAATACATAATCATTATCGTATATCCGGTTTACTGACTACCATGTGTTGATTTAACATTGAAAACTATATATGTGATCGATAAAAATAAGAGTTATAATCTGAATTGGAAATTATTGATGTGTTGACAAAAATTAAATATTAAATTGTAATGTACCCATGTATGGATTATAACAGGATACAGCACATGTGGTAAGTACTAAAGTAGTATGAAGCATGATATATGTGAAAATTTACTAATATACATAATGTTCACAGACATAAATTCAAATATCGATTACAATAAAAATATTATTTTTCTTTCTGTCAAAAATAACTAAATATTTTTCACCAATTTTACCCTAAGATACAATAAGTTAAGATTATTACATATGGAATCGAACACACTTTTAGTTTAGACCAGTAGAACTAAGTATATTTTTCGATAAAGAGTTCAATTTTTGCTCTGCATATATACTTTATATCCGAGCGTAGCAAGAGTAGTTTTAATTCGTTTTTCATGTGCAATTTCGGCAAAGCCTGTATAGACTGCATATTCAGTTTCATTTTATCGAATTTTCATTCATTACGTATTTTCCAAATAGCCCATTTAAAATAAAGTATTATCGCGTTAACAATTGGTTTATTAGAATTATCTGTACAGATTCCTAATAGAATATCTTTTTCAAGTGTCTCGTTATTTATTAAGTAACAAAGTTGTAAATTTCTGACAACTGTTTCTATCAATGGTTTAACATTGTTACATTGATAAAATGAATGCTCAAGAGTTCAATATTATTATTTTCATGACACAAGTGACATTTACCATTTGACATATGCATCATTTGCAGTCTGTTTTCAGTATATATTATCCATTCCCATTGCAATTCTGTAACTTTTCTATTAATGTCCATTTTACTGAGATTTATCCAAATTTTTTCCCAATTTATATCCTCGCTAAACAAATTTTCCCATTTTGTTTGACACCTAGGGGTCTCAGTTCTGTTTATGATTAATTGAATATATTTTAATGTCAAATCTTTAGTTTTAATGATTTCATTATCTGGATTTAGAAATTCAAAGTTTTCAGAAATATGATTTTTGTGGCTTTTTAAAGTGCGTTGAACATCGTTGTTTTTTTAAATCTGCAAGAGTGTTTGTGGTATAGAACTTTTAACTCGCGAGTATTCCGAAATACAGTAACGTTTATCTGTTAGTTGTTGGTATAGTTCATTGCATGATTTAAAATCTTTGGTATTATCGTCCCATATATCATCAATAGTTTTTATTTGACTTTTTGAAAAAGAAGAATAAAATAAAGATTTGCCCTGAAATAAAATATTTGAGTTTCCAAATAATCGCTGTTTCTTTACATCTATTTCGTTAAACATACCCTGTGTGGTCTCTGTCAATTTAGACCACGATTGTAAAGCGCTTTTGTAATAATATGGTAGGGTTTTGAAAGGTCAGAACATCTACACAGAAAAAGTTTATCGCCAAATTTTTATCATATTTTTTTAACCAAAATTTACCTATTGCGTTCCAACTAGATAATGGCTTGTGTATATCGAATATAACTATTTGGTATATAATATATTTACTTTCTATCCAGCTATCCAAATTTACCATCCCTATGCCCCCCTTTAACATCTAAACAACAAACCTTTCGGTCTACTTGATTCACTTTACCATCCCAAATCAAATCCGATATTATATAATCTTTTTTGTATTTTTCAGGTATACCTCTTATTTCTAACTCATAACCACATACTGAAATAATTAAATTTTTAACAATAAGGACTTTTCCAGAGTATGTCAATTTTCTGCTCTTCCAGACGTGTACACAATTTTGTACCTTTTCTAATATTGATTTCCAAATTTTGTCATTATCAATGTTATGACCATGGTGAATACCTAGTGTTTTTATGTTATCTGTTGTTTAGTTTATCTTTTTAAAAGTAGGCTGTTTGCGCTTATTTGCGCCAATATTTATCCCTTTAGTCTTTTCGTAATTAATTTTTGTACCCGAGGCCTTTTCATATTTGTCTAATATTTCAAACGATTTTTTAACAGAAATTTCATTTTTATTAAATAGTTGCGTGTCGTCTGCAAACATATTCATTTGGTTTCTAGTAACTCCCCATTTCTTCCCCAGGCAATATAATGCCTTGAATGTCTTTTTTTGCCCTAATTGCACAGGCTTAGGGATCTGCCTGATATATATTTATATAAATGGGGCTATAGGACACCCCTGCCTTGCTGATATAGAAATAGAGAAATATTTTGAGACGTACCCATTTGTTTTAATACATGTCTTTGCACTTTTTAATAGCATTTGAACCCAACCACGAAAATTGTCCCCAAAATTAAATGTCTTCATAACGAAGTCTAGCTATCCACATTTCAGCCTGTCAAAGGCTTTTTGTTGGTCTAAATAGACAATTATACCCTCTTCATCTACATCATCAATATATTCTATAATCTCCTGTATCATTCTATTTGCTTCCGTTGTATGTCTGCCTTTTACAAACCCTTTTTGGTCGGAGTGAATAAGATTTGGAAGGACTATTTTTAATCTTTCTGCTAGTATTTTTGCCATAATTTTGTAATCGCAATTCAGCTGTGTAAGCGGGCGCCAGTTTCGTATATTTTCTCGTTCCCCGCCCTTCTATAGTAATGTTAAAACTCCCTAATATAGTGAGTCCGACAATGTTTTTTATTCAATATTTCTTGCAATAATGTACAAAATTCTTCTTGTATGATATTCCAGAACATTATATAAAATTCAGAAATGATCCCGTCCTCCCCTGGGGATTTATTTGTTTTTATAATTTTTAAAACTTTCATTATCCCCTCCCCGGTAATATCCCGGTCTAGTAATTTTTTGTCGTCGTTATTTAGTTTGTTTTCTATGTGGCTTGTTAAATCTTGAGCACTTTCCAATTACCAAACTATTTCAACTCTCTACTCGAATGTACTTTTAAGGATTATGATACAATGTTAAAAAGGGGGTTAAAATAGTCAGTTTTAAAACATGCTTTCGTGTTACCATTAAAAATACAAACTACAAGAACTGCACATAAGTTTCAGACATAGGCTTCCCATGAAGATTTTATAAAATTAGATCATGATAAATTGTATGTATACCTATGGAAGATTTGCATGTACTTTCAGGGCAATGGCTGCATGACTGCATTCTCTATAGACGACACGTTGATGATCATAGTTTTTTGCCAAATTGAAATTATCCCACACCAAATTTACACTTTTTAAACACTTATTTCCTAATTGAATTCATATTATACACAGACCTTGCCGAGTGAACATGTTTAACTTGAGTTAGAGCTTCTAAATAATTCTAATATTTTTAAAACATCTTCACACAAAAAAAAATCACAGTATCACAGCTTCACGTGTTACGGTGTATATATAAATATATACTTACTCTGATCTTCAAAACGTAATGTCATTTCATGAAAATTGCTTAACGTCCAGTGGCAAATGTCACATACATGTTCAGAATTTTTTTTTATAAAAATAAAAAGGGCGTTGATGGCAGATATTTCATTGTTTCCGTTAGATTAATTCTCAACTGTTATACACTATATGGGTAAACCTGTCTACTGTCTATTGACTGTATGTTGGTCTTGTGATGTCTTCTGCATATTGTTTTTGTGGGGTTGCTGTCTTTTCACTTATACCCAATATATTCTTACAAATGTACATTCATACTTGTCGGGGTGTTAAAATAATTGAATGTCGTGGTAACGAGCAGTATTTTAGATTAAGTATAATCGTGGAATAGAAACTTAACATACTTGTACATTGTTCATTTTCTTGGTCAATATAACTGACAAATAAAACCCTAAAAAATTCGATTCATTTTTACTGTTAATTTTCACTGAAAAGAACAATCCAAACACAACACGTGAGAAAATAAACGGAAGCTTCAAACAAAAGTGTACATTATATAATTATAAAATATTTATGACTGTCTGGTGTTTTACTGGTTAAATTTCTACCTTATATTTTCTCTTAGCTAAGTGAATAAATCCTTTAATGCAAATTTTTATAGGTTTTACTTGTGTATATTAAATACTTATAATTTTCATCATTATTTTAGTTAATTTTGGTTGTCTGTTATATTCTAATATGTTTTTATGGTATTCATTGTGATATATAATTCCCCTTTCAATGCTTTTAATTTACATCATTATTCTATTTAATTTCTGTTTCATTCTTATGTTCATATATGTATATATATATTTGCTATTATTGTATGCATTGTGATAATATTTTCCTTCAGTTTTATATGTTAAGCGCTTAGAGTATTATGTTTATTAGATAGGCGCTATATAAAAGCTATGTAATAAATAAATAAATAATAAATGTTGATATTTGGTTTAACGTAAACAGAAACATTAGTTCATCAATGTTATCATTTATTATACATGACAGCTAGCAGTGACATTTTATTCAAAATATGAATAAGGAGATGTTGTATGATGCCAATAAGACAAATTTCAATCAGAGTTTAAATGACAAATATATCAGCAATTATATGCCTTCAACCAATACAGACATGTACAGACCGAATAATCTGTCTCTTGTGTGTTTATACTTGTCATTTCATATTTAATTTGTCCAGCGACCAGAGGAGGGACGACATTCTGCATACGGCACGCATATTGGACTTATATTATCGATCGGTCGCAGTCACCTGGACAGTGGAAATGTGTTGGATGATATTATACACATAAGCAATAATATACAGTTGTGATGATTATATAATATACATACATGTATACATAATAATTGAATTTGGTATTTGTCATTATTTGCCGGGCATATACGAATTTATCCCTTTATCAAACTGCTATTTTCCGGGTGCTTTTTTGTACGGCATGGACATTATAATTGAATACTCGTTTATTAAAGTAATTTAACAAACTGTGGGCTTTTATTTTGGTCAACATTTTATTTTATACAAAATTATAAATATTAGACTCTTTTTTTCATTTGTCATAAAAAAAAAAGAAAAACACGAGAAAACAAGTAAAGAACGAAGCCAACCAATATCCAAATTAAACATGTAATTTAAAAAACAAAAATCTATCTTACATGTTTTGTTTATTTCAATTATCTTGAATATCTAAAATACACAATACATGATATTTGTTGCTAAGGTTTACGTATTTACGTATTTACTCACGGATTTGACAATTATTTTTGGACATTTAATTTGAAAATCGTCGTTTTTTTGTAGCGACTCTTTATGCAGCAACGAATGGAGACTGAATGAGCCTTTTATGTTTTATGCTGTATAAACAATATTCTTTAACTGTTATAAATTTCGATTTTTTTTTACTTGCTTACTAACGAAATATTAATAAAAGTTTGTGTCTAGTATTTTTACAGACCGCGAATAAAAATTCCTGTCATTACGGAACATAATCTTTATAGATACAATTTACCAAAAAGAAGTTAAAAATACATCACAGTTTTTATGTAAAAGTTATTTTCGATCATCAATATTTCTTTCCATTTGAAAACTTGCTATATTTTTATGATTGCAATAGAGTATATTTGATATTAAAACATGAACAAATATACATTGCAAATTGAATGATATTCAATAAATTTTAATCTGATAAAACTACATGTCATAGTTACAGTTAAAAATTGTAGAATTTTACCAAAAGCCGTTAAAGCAAGGGAAATTTGTACGCAATTCCGAAAACATATTTCATTTTAGTTGTAATTTATGCTCATTTAACCCTCACATATATTTTATTTTGGACAATTGAACAAAGCAAACAAATTTTCACGGAAGGACATGAATATAATTGAGAAATCAGGGTATTACAAACAAGCTCGAATAAAGGGAGACAAACCTTATGAATCTGCACAAACAATTTTATGTCAAAATTGATAGATTTACCTGGTACTGGATGCTACTGAAAATTCCTAATCAACTATTTTATCGATGAACTGACGTGTACTAAAATGTACTTAACAGTACTTGATTTAACGCTACGCGTTTTTTTCTTAATTACCTTAACCAGTACTGACTTGTACTTAATCGATCGCGATAGTTATTGTACTGAACATGTACTGAACAACTGAAAAAGATCTTGACATTTTTCCTTGCGGTAAATTCAGGCATTTAAGAGTTGTTCAGTTTAAAATGACCGTTTCAGTAGTAAAACCCGTTACTAGTGCAAATGCCATCCCTCGCAGCTAAATAAATGTGAATAAAACTTAACTTATTCATTTAGTATTTCGTCTATATTGTATTTATAACGGCCATTTTCTGGTTTTATTCGACTCTAGAAATTTTTTTCCGTTTTGCTTTTCGAGATTGAAAAAGTAGCTTGACGATTTCCCCCCTTTTTCCGCCTTTTTAACACGCGACCTCATTTTTGACGCCACTGATTTGTTCTAAGTAGTTTTTAATTAGTGATTCTATTTCTGAGATCTTATTTTCAACGTCCCCCGACGTGATGCTATATAATTTGAGTCTTTCTCATTTTTGTTCAAGGTTAATGATAAAACTTTTTTGGCTATTTTTGTTAAAGGGTTTACTTACTTCCATTGTTATCTTTTTTATTTGTGATTTTTATGACATCCTACCAATCTTGAATTTTTTCTAACCTATTTTTTCCATGTTTTCAAGTTTCCCACCAAATTTCAAATGCATTCTTAAATTCTTCAATTTTTATTGTATTCATATTCATTATCCATATACCCAGTCCT